AGAAACAATTGAAGCAGTCGAAAATGTTGGTCGATTCAGTCATCTAAATAGTAAGTATCACTGTAAGATGATTAGTAAGTTAAAATTGAAAATAAATATGTAAAATTTTTTGTAGCTCATCATCAACCTTCTTCAAATGAATTTATCGTTTATCCAAATCAAAAAGCTGTACCGTTCGTTTCTGCAACACCAAATCTTATACGACTAAACAAAAAATGGCAAGAACAACTAAAGACTGAGAAAGAACGAGTTAGACGAAATTTAATTACAGGCAACTATGACAAAGAAGATGATACATTAGATTTACATGCTGCAAAAGATGCCGTTGTAACAGTGGTGAATCCAAATAATTATAAAAATAACAATTTTGAAAATTATGGCTCGATTCTTCCAGTGGTCTCCGTTGCAACAAACTTTCCCACTCCAAAACCTATCGCTGATGAATTTACATTAAATAGAGAACAACGAGCTGCATTCATGATCATTATAAGCCATTTTGATGGTGACAGTAGATGTCGTACAGGTATTTTTACAATATAGTCTATTACGAATTGATATATACTGTATTTTTAGGTGATAATAATGGTCAACTTATAATGTGCATACCTGGATGTGGCGGTACAGGCAAATCACAACTTATTCATGCTCTTAGTAAATATTTTCTTATTACCCAGTCAGACAAAAATTTTGAAAAACGCGTTTAAACGCACAATCAGGAACCGCGATTATAAGCCATTAACGCTCATTAAAAAAACGCACGAAAACGCGTTTATTGGCGTCTTTTGTAACTTCATGGGCGTTAAAACGGCGACAATTCCCGTTTTCGAGCGTTAAAACGCACTATTATTCTAGAACTTAAAAATAATACGTTTTAACGCTCCAAAATTGGAGTTTTCGTCGTTTTAACGCTCATAAAGTTACAAAAAACGCCAACAAACGCGTTTTCGTGCGTTCTTTTAATGAGCGTTAATGGCTTACAATCGCGGTTCCCGATGGTGCGTTTAAACGCATTTTTCAAAATTTTTGTCTGACTGGGTACAAAACGAATACAAATGATGCGAAAACTTGCACCTATTGGAATTGCTGCTGCTGAAATCGGTGGTATGACAATTCATTCATTTTTGGGTGAACAACGCAATTCTGGAAAACCGCGAACCATCAAACCAGGTGATTCAAAACTTGAAAAAGAATGGAGACTCGTCGAATACCTACTGATCGATGAAATGAGTATGGTTGGTTTAAACTTATTAGCAAAACTTAATCGAATCATTTGCTCTGCAAAACATGCCGAGCCATAAGTTCCATTCGATGGTGTAAATGTTATTTTCTTCGGTGACTATTTACAATATCGACCTGTATATGATTCACTATTACACACTGATTTCTCATTACCGTTGAAAAAAAATCCGGTAAATTGCCAAATGAAAAAGAAATTCAACAACGTGTTGCACGTTCTTTAATTCTTTAAATCAGTTGCGTCGTAAAACTTACTCAACAAATGCGAACAGAAGATCCACGATACCTTCAACTTCTCGAACGACTTCGTCATGGACAATGTACTTATGACGATTATAAATTATTACTAACACGAGTTGTTGGACAACCATCAGTAGGATCTTTACGCGATTCGCCTTGGAATAAAGTAAGTCTTTGTTTTTGTTTCCAATAATTTTCTATCTTTGTCTTTTCAGGCTCCGATTCTTGTGTTCAGAAATGAAGTACGAACACAATTGAACAATAAAGCAATAATTCATAAAGCGACGCAAATGGGACAATAACCCATGGTATGTGTCGCTCAAGACACTTGCGAAGGAAAAATCAATTGATGATCCAACACTCATTAAAAAATTATTAGAATTATCCGATAGTAAAGCGGAACATTTACCAGGTCTTTTACCTTTTGTTCCTGGAATGTCCGTTATTTTAACACAAAATATTGCTATTGAACTTGGTCTTATTAACGGAATGAATGGAATCTTTCGACAACTTGTCTATGAAGAAGATTCTGTGTCAACAAATGTTCTTTCCGAAACATTTCCCAACAATACAAGATATATTCATAAACGTTTATATGCTTTGATTGAAATTATCAAATCAAAAATCGAATGTAACCTCGAACAACTTCAACCAAACATCATTCCAATACCTGTAATGGAAGAAACATTCCGGATTGATATTGCTGATGTATTACCAAAAAAGAAGAGATCAAAATCAAATCAAAAAGCAATTTTATCAATAAAGCGACGCCCATTACCACTCGTACCTGCTTATTCTATTACGACATATAAAAGTCAAGGCCAAACTTTAAATAATGTTGTAATTGATTTAAAACTACCAAATGAAACTGACGATATCGGCGCAATTTACATACCTTTATCACGTGTGAAACGTTTGACTGATTTGATCATCCTGGGACATTTTGATTACAAGGTTTTATTAAGGAAACTAAGTAAATCTCAACTCGCCGAAATAGAAAGATTAGATAAATTATATTTGGAGACACAAACTCGTTTCTCAGAGTGGTTTTAACTTTTTTTTCTTCGATGTACAAAGTTTTGTTTATAATTGTAATAGCCTAAGCTTTTCATATATAGTTCATGTTAGAGTTTTCGCATCTTTATTGTTCACTTTTCATCATTTATTTATTTTCTTTTTAAACATTTCTCAATGTATATTCTATTAGTGTTGTAATTTGTGTTGCTCTATTATCATGCATTTCGTCTTTTTCATTTTTTTCAAGTGCATTTTTATAGAAAGATGTTTCTTAAATGTTTCTTTTTTTACTCATTTCTATATTCATTATTGCAAATAAATCAGTTATACTTGTGTTCTGTTAATAAAAAGAATCTTTCAATTTAAAGATTCTTATATCNATTTCGTTACTTGTTCACCAACCTATTCGTTTAATAATCAACTATAAGAAGCGGTAACCAGTCGAGACTGGACCAAGTCTTAACTTCTCAGATTTATCTGATCGAGTTCTGATTCTGCATGCAATAATAAATTTTAAGCATGCCTGATAATAGACCCTTAAGCAAGGTCCAAACGCGTCGTCTGATGCTCTCAATCTCAAAACCTCTTTTATAATAAAATATTATTCTACTGGATTTTGTTATTACGAATTAATTTCAAACTACTTCAAAATACTGGAGAGTTTGAAATTCTTATGTAATAATAGATTGTAAACATGCCTGATGAAGATCAGATTCAGCCCTGATCGAAACGCGTCGTGTGATATTCTCAATTTCAAAAACTCTTTTACAATAAAATAGTCGTGTGATGCTCTGAATTTAAAATCTTATCTCCTATTTTATTGAAAATAGATAAGCCATCTGAGTCCCTTAACCCGGACGAAATCGGCCATGGCAGCTCAGTCACACTGTTGATTCAAAATAATTCTTCTACTACAAGTTAGTTTCCACTTCTTGTAGCACTGAAGATACATCTTGTTTTGGATTTTTTTTTAATAGAATTCAAAATAGAGAAGCCATCTGAATGATTCTCTTAGCCCGGACGAAACCGGTCATGGCAGCTCAGAGAGATCATTTGCTCTGCGAAACAAGTCGATCCTCAAATTCCATTCGGTGGCGTAAACGTTACTTTCTTTGGTGACTATTTGCAATACCGACCTGTTTATGATGCACCATTACACACCGATTTTTCTTTGCCATCGAAAAAAAACAGGTAAATTGCCGAATGAAAAAGAAGTTCAACAACGTGTTGCCCGTTCTTTAACTCTTCAAATCAACTGCGTTGTAAAACTTACTCAACAGATGCGAACGGAAGATCCAAGGTACCTTCAACTTCTCGAACGACTTCGCCATGGATAATGTAATTATGATGATTATGAATTATTGTTAACACGAGTTATTGGACAACCATCAGTAGGCTCTCTACGTGACTCACCTTGGAATAAAGTAAAACTTTCTTTTTGTTTTGAATAATTTTCTATCTTCGCTTTTTCAGGCTCCGATTCTTGTGTTCCGAAATGAAGTACGGACGTAATTGAACAACAAAGCGGCAGTTCACAAGGCAACAGAGACGGAACAAGCACTAATGGTATGTGTCTCTCAAGACACTTGCAAAGGCAATCCAATTGAAGATCCAAGACTGATTAAAAAGCTGTTAGAATTATCTGATAGCAAAACAGAGCATTTACCTGGTTTGTTACCTTTGGTTCCTGGAATGCCTGTTATTTTAACACAAAATATTGCTATTGAACTAGGTCTTATTAATGGAATGAATGGAATCTTTCGACAGCTTGTCTAGGAAGAAGATTCTGTATCAACCGATGTTATTTCAGAAACATTTCCAAACAATACACGATACATACATAAACCTTTATACGCAATAACTGAAATCGTCAGATCGAAGATTGAATGCAACTTTGAACAACTTCTATCAAATCTCGTGCCAATACCATTAATAGAACAAACTTTTCGCATTAATATTGCCGATGTTCTACCAAAAGATAAGAAACCAAAATCAAATCAGAAGACAATTTTATCGATTAAGCGACGTGCATTACCACCTGTACTTGCGTATTGTATTATAACACATAAAAGCCAAGGTCAAACTTTAAATAATGTTGTAATTGATTTGAAGTTACCAAATGAAACTGATGACATTGCTGCAATTTATGTACCTTTGTCACGTGTGAAACGCTTGGCTGATTTGATTATTTTAAGATATTTTGATTACAAAATTTTATTAATGAAACCAAGTAAATCTCAACTCGCCGAAATAGAAAGACAAGATAAACTATATTTAGAAACGCAAATGCGTTTTTCTGAATGGTTCTAACATTCTTCCTTGATTGTACAAAACTTTGCATGTAATTGTTAATGCTTATAATATTACATATGTAATCCATGTTAAAGGTTTTCTCTTTCTGATATTGTTTTTTGGTATTTTATCTCTTTTTTTCTCACATTTCACTGCATATTATATTCATTTCGTGCTTCTTGTTGATGGATTTTTATGCTATAGTTTTTCTTTTTTTATCACATAATAGAATGTTGTTGAATAATTATTTCCGTTTTCCTATTTATTTACATTTTCATTATTGCAAATAAATCAATTATAATCGTGTGTTGTTGGTAAAAACAAAATTTTTAATATCAAGATTCTTAATTATTGTATGAGCATATATTACCAACTAAAACCAGCGTATTTCATAATGTTACTAGTGTGTAATAGTATGACATTTATTTCGCTGCAGGTATTTATTAGTTAGAGTATACTTGGATAAAGATGTGCTGATTTTTACAATCTTTTACTGGAAAGTAGGATTTATCCTAAATTATTTTACAAAGAGACCGAGCAGTTTTTTTTCAATGTTACGATTCAAGAAAAGAATTTTGCGTTGTTTATTCGGATAAATCTGCTAGATAAATTCTTCCCGCATCGATACATACGTGAAATACTTCTGCCTTATACAGTCGAGGGTCAAGTGAGTCGAAGCGACGAACGTTACTTGTGAGTTAGAATATGAGACGATTGCAAACCATTTGTACAATTTGAACAACAAAAATTGCTAAGCTAATATCTTGCGGAATTCTCAATCAAATTCAACAATTTTATGAGAAGATATCCATCACAGGTATGACTAATTTGGCTGCTAAATCAGCCCTCTAGCTATTGTCTGTCATTAGAGGACGCGAAAATGATATCGCTTTTCCCCTTAAATTTCACATGGACATGTCCAATGGCGACAAATTAAGCTGATTTTTTTTCTGTTAAGAAAGCGTTTTAAAAATTCATTTTAACTCATTCCCTAGTCAAACATCTTGTAAGTAAGATCTTAGTCAAGATCTTGGGTACTGATAGGTGAACAGATCTTGAAAATTTAGGTACAAGATAATCGTATTATCTTGTACCAAGATCTGTAATCAGATCTTGGGTACAGATGTGTAAGATCTTGGGTACAGATGTGTAAGATCTTGGGTACAGTTATATAAGATCTTGGATACAGATGTATAAGANCAAAAAATCTCATTTCGAGAAAAACGCAAAAAAAAACATTGAATTATTCGAAAGACGTTGTTTTTTCGAATAGACGTTTTCAGAAAACATCTGTAAAACCCTTAAAATCCATCGTAAACAAAATAAACCATAGTGCATTCGATAGCGGACGTGATGCTCTATCACATGCGCTATTTAAAAAAAAATCGATAAATTTGACAGAAATCAACTTTTTTTGGGTGAGGGGGGCCGTAAGGTTATAAAAACAATCTTTTGATCATTGAAAGCGGACTAAAACCTTATTCGGTACATCGTAATCAACTACCATGCCGCTGTCCAAAGCGAGAAGACGATCGCTATTGGCCACTGTGTTCAATCGATGAGCGATTGTTAAAACTGTTCGATTTTTAGCTACGTCCGCAATGATCAATTGTAACTTTCGATCACTTTCGTTATCAATATTAGATGTCGCCTCATCGATCAACAATATACTATTTGGTCTGATAATGGCTCGACAAACACAGATCAATTGACATTGACCAACGCTTAAGTTGCTACCAGATTCCGCGACTGGCATTAGAAGACCCGCCGGATGATTGGAAGCCATTGCTTTCAGTTGCACAGCTTCGAGTGCCGTCCAACATTGTTCATCTGAATAAAGATCCAATGGATCAATATTGGATCGAAGAGTTCCAGCAAACAGCACGAACTGTTGTGGAATGACACTGATATGAGAACGAAGATGGCTCAGTGTGATACGACTGATATCAATATTATCAATTAGAATTTCACCATCGACCGTCGATCGATCAACTAGACGTAGTAGACCTTGAAAAAGAGATGATTTGCCCGCACCTAAATGTAATAAAGTATGAAAAACGTGACGCTAAAACTGAACCCTTTTCACCGACCCGTTCGACCAATAATACCAACTTTCTCCCAAGGTTTGATTGCTACATTAATATGTTTCAGGGTTGGTTCGAGATTAGATCGATAACGCAGTGAATAATCTCGAAACTCTATCGTACCACGATCCGGCCAATCTGTTGGAGTTCTGATTAGTCTCTTAGAGCCACCATTGTCCTCTTCCTGTGGTAAACGTGCATATTCATCGATACGTTCAACACTAATCATCAAATTTAGAGCTTCAGTCAAATGACGGACACCAAGCTGAAACCAAACGCTTATATTGATGCTATATAACAAAATTAGTGTCAACATCGCCGGATTCGCTGTATCGCGTAAAGTAACGACAAAAAGCGCACTAAAAAGTGTAAATAAAGTTATCATACAATCAATTCGTACGCTAAGCCATCGTGAGGCAGCTATCATATATAGATATGGACGTGTGTTAGCATCAACAAGATTCATAAAGGAACGAATCAGATCATTTTGAACTTTGAATGCACGGATAGTCGTCAAGCCATTGATTGATGATGCAAACAGTCCAAACATAGGACTACGTGTTACACTTTCCATGCGTTTAAGTTGTTGACTAGAACGCAAGTAGTAGCGACATAACAGCCAGAAGGCAGGTCCTAAGAGAATGAGTAGAAGTATCATCCATGGATTGATGATGATAATAGTGATTGCAAATCCAGTAGTCATCATTAGTAGTTGTATGGCATTGAACAGTGTTGAGGGTAATGCCTCGTCCATAATCTGTTGATCTTTGGTCACACGATTGAGAATACGACCACCTGGATTACTTTCAAAAAAGCGCATCGATGTATACAATAGTCCAGATAACATTCTATTATGGAATCGGTTTGAGCCATTCAATATGTGGTAGAAGTAGAAGCTACTACGTCCCACTGAGACAATTAATGTCGCCATAGTCAAAATTAAAAAAATGCTAATACTAATAGATCGATGATAACGATCATTTTCCAATTGTTGAGACGAGCGGATCAGCCATAAAGAGGTGCCATTATAAAGAATATCACCAACTACGAGAAGAATGATCATCAAACAAAAGCCAAACGTTCCCAAAGGTGGTGCAGTAAACAAAGAGTACCACAGCGAACAGCTGACATTATGATTTCCGGATGCTTCATTAACAATGATCGATTCAGCAGCATCAGATGATTGTCCTATATCAAGCATACCCAGCGATATCGGTGCTTCTTCTTCAACCTTGCTATGTTGTTTGTCATCAATGTCCTCATTCCTAATCTTCAATTCATGAAATCTACCTTGTGTTTCGATACAACCATGAGCGAGAATAATTGTTTGATGTGTGTTAATTAAAAACTGCGTTTCATGCGTGATCAATAAGCGAGTTTTTTTTCTCAACAAACTATTTGGGCCAATGCATCGATCGTAGATTCGTTTTGCCACAATAGGATCGAGTGCAGCAAATGGATCATCAAGAAGATAGATATCAGCGTCCGCATACAATGCACGAGCCAATGATACACGTACTCTTTGTCCACCACTCAAATTCACACCCTTCTCACCAATAATGGTCAAATCTCCACGCGGTCCCATCATAGTCACATCAATATCGAGACAACAAGAACGTATAACCTTCGTATAACGTTGCTCGTCGTATGGTTTTTCAAAAAGAATATTGGCGCGTAATGTGTCAGAAAATATCCATGCAGTTTGAGCCACGTAGGAGAAAGAACTATTGTTTCTGTTGATTTCACCCTTCGTTTGGATCATTTCACCAAGAATGGCTGCAAATAACGATGATTTGCCAGCACCAACAACTCCAGCAATGCCTACAAATGTGCCTGATTCAATATCAAGATTGAGTGATGAAAGACATTCATCATGACCATTCCATGAAAATGAAGCATTAAGCATCGTAAATGCTCCTTTTTGCTGATAAAGATCATTGTCACATGTATGCAATGTTCGTTGTTCTTCTTTTATCGTCAGCTGGATGAATCCGTCGATTCTTTGCCATGCTAAGTGAAGGTCGCTTAATTTTTCGACGGCCAGTGGCAATGCATACATGACAAAAAGACGCATTTGAGTATAGAACGCAAGACTTATAAATATATCAGCTGCTTTTAACTGACTTCCAGTGAACCAAGCACCGGCGTATGTAGAAAATCCAACCAAAGGCATCGTTGCAAAGAATAGAGCCAGATTGACTGCACGAAGAAGAGATGCAGAACGAATACTAGCCAGTTCGACTTTACGTATTCTAGATACGCGTGTCTCCATATACTTTTCCCAATTATTCATTTTGATTGTTTGACACCCATTGATAAGTTCCTCAAACGCATGGACACGCTGGTCAGTATATGTCACTATTCTTTCGCGATAGCGGCTAAATTGTCCTCCCAAAAGCATTTGTAGAGAAATCAATAGAATGACTGTAATGTAACTGAACAATGTTGGCCAAATTCCAATTGTCCACCAGAGCAATCCAAAAAAGATTACAGCCACTAGTGGAGCTTGCCATATATAGAAAAGATCTTTGAAAATTTCTTCGAATTTTGTTACATCGTTAGTGACAATACTAATGATATAGTTGGTGGTCATCTGTCGAAATGTTGCTGTATTGATCGACAGAAGCCGTGTGTAGATAGTTGATAAGAGCAAACTCCGAACCATCAAATCAAGACGGGACGTGAGAAAATTATACTGCTGAAGAATAAGGACTTGAAGAAGCGCACAAGCAAACAACCCAATAGCATAAAAATAACCACTACTAGTTGTTGCTGAAGGTGTTGTTTTGAAACTTTGATGATCCTGAATATATAAAATTAATCGATATATGAGCAGTGGCTGAACAATATTAACGATCATTAGAGGTAACAGAAGAGAGGTGACGAGTGCGCAGTGTTTCCACAATGCTCTGAAAAATATTTTGAATGTTGTCT